AGAGGCAAGCAGGGCTAGCTCATGGAGGTCTTGTTGATGAGCTTGTCTTTGGTTCTTGACATGAAGGGGAGCCACCAAGGAGGTTTAAGCACTAGGAGGAAATTGTCTGGTTTGCATTTGGAAAGATCATTCTGGTAATTGTGAGGAGGGTGGATTTGAGGCGATACAACAAGAAGATCAGTTAAAAGCCCCTTGCAGTTAATAGTCCTGATAGGAAGGGATATTGGCTTGGATTTGGGTATTGGCAATAGAGAYTGAGAGGAAGGGACCTCCCACAAGTTAGTACATCTGCCAGACGGCTCCTGCCACCACGGTGCCTGCAGCTCAGGCTCCAGGGTCATGCGGCTCCTCCCTGACACTCATGTTTCCAAGGCGATGGCTCCTGCTGATCTTGTATTTTCCAGTCTTATCGAGGTTACCTACCTTCCCACACTTTCCRCTATTATCTCATATTTTAGTTAACTTTTTTTCATTGCTGTGGCCAAAAGACTTGACAAGAACAATACAGAGGAGGGAAAGTTTCTTTGGGGCTTATAATTTCTGAGGTCTCAGTGCCCAGATGGCCAACTTCATTGTTCTGGCCCTGAGATGGGGCAGCACAACTTGCTGGAAGGGTGTGGGAGGCAAGTGGCTTAAGACAAGGCCATCAGGGAGAGAGAGAAAGCTCTGCTCACCAGGGACAAAAGATAGGCCTCAGAGACCTACCTCCTCCAGCCACACCCTACCTGCCTGTTCCTCCTCCCCTCCCACGGGCTGCCTTTCTTGTACTGGCCACCAGACCTACCCCAGAACACCCAGTGACAGCTGTCACTGCTTGAGGACACTAGCTCATAAGAACAGGGAGCAGCCCTTCTCACACAAAGCCCCTGGGTAATTACTGCACAGGAAGTAGCCAGAAGCCCAACCCAGTACCCAGCACCCGGGAGAGTAGAGCTGAGATAAACAAGGGATCCAGGGACCCAGCTTGTGCAGAGCCTTGGTCACTTTTACTATGACAAGATTATTCCTGTTAAGGAAATGGAAARCCACAAAGAAATGGCAGAAGGAGGGATGGCGCTAGCGGTTCATGGGTGTTCTGTGATAAGGAAGAATCTCATGGCCTCTGACTCGCTGACCAAAGGAAACGGTTATCAACAGTGACTCAAAAAGACAGGGGAAAACACAAGGAGTTCTTCCCAAACCATACAATAGCAATTACCATATTTTAGCATATGGTTCCACACTGAATTATTTCACAGTTATAATTAGGTTGCTAATGCGGTGCAGAATTGGACCATATGCTAATTTGGTATACAGTTTATCTAATCTGAGGGAGATGCAACATTTAGAGGACCTGAATTTTTTTTTTTTAAAGAAGCAATTAAAAGGACTTCTTCAACTACCACCTTCTTCTCTTATAATTACTATTATGATTATGTTGGGCTGTGTGTGTGTGTGTGTGTGTGTGTGTGTGTGTGTCTCACAGACACAGAGACACTGGAAGATGGATTCCACCCCAATTACAGGCGCCAGCCACACACTTTAGTCTCTGGTTTCTCTCCAGCATTCACTGAAGATTCTTTTCTTTCTGACTTGCTTCCCCCCTCCACCCCCTTTTTCTTTTTGCCTTTGGTGAATTAAAACTGAATTTTCTTCTCTAGGACAATTCTCTGTTCCAGTCATAGTAAATACCAATTTCATCTCCATCCTATTATTTTTCTAATTAAACATTTGTCATGCAAAAGGAGATCTGAGGTGCCCGGGCTTTCCATTATGTAAAATATTACAGTTATGGTAATCGCTTTGGAATGGTATCTTGAAGGTGTTGTGGACAGAAATCAGGGAAGAAATAAAATAAGCTGTCTTTCCTTGGACGTTTCCCTGTTTACTTTCTCCTTGGTCAGACACAATTGCTGATATTGAACGTCTCCCACCATGAGGGATATCCGTACGATTAGCATCCTTTAATCTGGAGAGTCACGTAAACTACCTAAAAATTTGTTAAAGGTTAAAAATGCAACTCTGTTTTATACCACCTTAGATTCATTCCCCCCTTTTTCTCTTCTATTCACACTTAGCAAAACCCACACTCCTCTACTTGATGAAATGCACTTCTGAGCTCAGAACAAAGTAGAAATATGCCAGAAGGACRACCTGATATTTCTTGAAAATTCTTTCTTCCTTCTTATGACAAAGCCCAAGGGGGTAGGCTCTGTTGAAGAAGGATTTACTTTCTAAACCCTTCGAACACAAAGCTTTGCCATTTCTGGGGCAAGAGATTTTTTTTTCCAGACAAACATGAACCGTCATACCTTGTATCTATATTTGCAGCAAAAGATATTTCATATGTGTATCCACACATGAAATACGTATGTGTATCTAGACGCCTRCTGTTACCTATTGATCTACAAAGTCTGAGGTTTTGAGGTCCCACTATTTCTACCGTTTGCACGGAACGCACTATGAAACATTTGTGAACCTAGGRCCATTTCCTCGTGGATGCTCAAAATGTAGACTGAGACCTTTCCTGTGTGGAAAGGAACCCTTGTGTAATTTCTGAAAGTTCCACCCCCTGAAGCACACCTGGTAGCACACGGTGCTGGAGGAGAATGCCTTTGGGTGGATCTCACTCTAACCAGGTGTTCAGGGTTGGTGGAAGATGCTGGGGTGGCGCCCCCTCCCAGATCCTATTAACTGGGCTGGTGAACCCTTCTGCAGCTGCTTCCAATAGGGGCTGCTGAAAGCCCAGGGATGCCCCTATTTCTGGGGAAATTGCCYCGGGCTAACAGAGGAGTCATCTCACCCAGGAAGCTCATGAGGGGAGGCCACAGCCAGCAAATGATGGATAAGGGATACAGAAAGTWGGCCCTTGGGCTCAACGAGGGCAACTCTGTGGTGCAGTTATGCTTCAGAGCTCCCCCCGCCAGGGTCCAGGCCAGAGTGGCCTTTCCCTGAGGCTACATTCTTGCCTTCCCTCTCCTGCTGCTCTCTGCCCTGCCAGGATTTCCCTGTAGAGCAATTTCTTAAGAAATCTCTGGTACCCAGCTCTAGTCCCAGGCTTCACCTCCAGGAGACTTCTTTCCATTTTGGATTTCAGTTCCCTAATCAGTAAAACGTGGATGGTGATTCCTGCCTCTTCTACTTCTCAAAGTGGTGGTATGAATGGCAAATAATGCGCAAGAATTTTGTCAACAAAGAAGTAGAAACCTGTTGCAGGTAGCATACAAAATTGTATTTGTTTTAATGTTGAACCTTAAGCTCTAGGGTTGACTCACCCCACCTTGGGTGCCCCACGTGTTAGGGGACTGCTGCCTGGGCTCATCGGATCATTCCCCAGGGAGAGCTCATCGGTGAGAGTTTGTCTGCCTGCTTTTTGCAACTGAGCCTTCAAAGCAAATAAGGAGATGTGAGAGACGGGAAGGGCTCCATCAGACCTGAGAGAGAGCACAGAGCCCCAGAGGAAGTCTTGTTAGGCAGGAATTCAGACTTGGTCATGCCTAATTTTAAGAGAAGTCAGGCATCAGATTTTTAGGTGAAATATTCAGATACTTAAATGWTAACATTTTAAAACCACTTTCCCATCCCCATTATTCAAGCAAAATGTGACTGGGGGGCCTGAATGGGCTGGCTATGTGTTGCCTCTGTCCAGATTTAAGTCCCTGAAAGAACACACCAGGCGACCCCCACTAGGTCCCCGTCATCCAGCACAGTGCTCAGCARCAGGGTCGATGAGAGACCCATGATAAATGGGAACACCGTTATATTTGCGGGTTTCTGGGAAGTTAAATGGGTTTCCRCTAGTTTCAGTAAACAGTTCTCTATTTTGTAAAAAGCACTTAGCATATGATTCCCTTCCCTAAACAGTATTTCAACATATGCAGATTTTTATTCACTTGCCAGTTTGCTATTGCACAACTTTTCAAGGATACTAAGTCTGTTTCCTCATCCATTAAACAGAAACAATCATGCTTGACCTGAAAATGACCAAAAGCATGTAAAAAGGCTTCCCAAACAGGGGTGATCAATCCAGATGGAAGAAATCATTTTTCTCTAACTTCTGTCCTGGGATCTAAATCCCATACTTGGAAATTTGAAAACAAGAAACAAACGTTCTCATCTTTCTTCTCAGATGTTTCTTTAACTTTTGTTGTGATTTTTGCTTTAAAAACGGCATTATTATTTTCTGTTACTATTAATTACCTAAGTTTTCTCTTTAAGTCAAATACATTTTTTCTTTACTTTACAGCCATCTTTTTCGATACCAACTTTATGTTTGTCCAAAGCAATAATATTCATGAATGTACAGGTTTCATGTCCTGTATTAACTTTGATAAAGGCGCGCGCGCCCACACACACACACACACACACACACACACTCACACACACACACACACTGTGTGTGTGTATGGAATTACATCTGTGTACCACCTAAAGTCACTTTGCTTATTTCTACCTCTTTCAGTTTATTCATTTTCTTGTTGAACATGTCAGCTACTGTCTCTCCCATGAAAACCTGGGATAGGTGAGAGAAGATTAAAGTCACTGAGTTCCACAAAATTTTAAACCTCTCTAAAGAGCTTTGTAAGTGGCTAATGAGCTTCAGGTAGGAAACTCATGCTCCAAATCTTTCTGCTCCAGATCCCTGTGGACTTGCTAACATTTGTGAGCTATAGATGGGAACCCCAAGAGAGCTATCTTTGCAAAGTGTTTAAGCACCCCTCTTAGGCTCCGCCCAAGAGGAACCTGGGTAGTGCTCCAAGTGACTTTCAACACAGCAGAGTCCGGTGGCACCATCTCAACTACTTTCACACAGGAAGATGTCTGGCACCATGTTCCTAGCTCTTCAAGCCCCTGACATTGTAATTTTTAAGATTGGCTTTAGTCATTTAATAGGATAATGGCATTTGAACCAGTCTCCAGTGGGATATGAGATGATGTTAATRATTATAATCTGCATTTAGGTGGCGCCTCTCCCAGCAAGCAGTCAAAGTTTTACAAATGTTATCTTGTTTTCATCTTAGGACACCCTTGTGAAGCCAGCATTTTTTTATTGCACATCTGCAGAGAGGAGCTGAAGGATGAAGAGGTTAAGTGGATTGCCCAGTCCGAGATCAAATCTGTGATCACAGATCTAAACATTGGCTTGATGTTGTCTAAAGGAAGTGTTTGTAATGGACTTATGTGTGAGTTTTATACTAAATGCTGAAAGCGAAAATATTTACACTTAGGTCTGTAAACCCAAAGACTTTTTAAAACTTACACTTGGTATAGCATCAATAGTACTCACCTTCTCCAATTAGCAAGTATAGAGGTTTCATTCCAGAAYCTGACATATAACCTATCACCTGCCATATAACTTTTAAAATTGAGTCAGGCACAATTTCAAGTGTTTTCTAAATATGAAATCATWAAATCCTCATAATGACCACATCCCTCATAGTATACAAACCAAACCACAGAGAAGTCAGWAAACTTGCCTAAGATCCTCAGGTGATAAGTGCCAAAGCTGGGATTTGAATCCAAATGGTTCAATTCCCTAGTTCAGACCTTTAATGAACATTTTGCAGACATTGTACTTTTAATAGTTATTTGTTGAAAAATAAACTCTTTCTTTACCATACTGGTCAAGGGCTTTATCCTATGTCAGTAGTTGGTCTGGTAACCCTATTGTGGGTAGAATCTTCCTATTTAACTAACAATTGGGATGAATTGTTATAATAARTGAAGATATTTTTCACAAGTGACTCATGCAGTGTACTTTATTTTTAGAGAATGGTTTCAATGTGATATGTATATATATATTTTTTCACATTCATTATGTCATTTGATCCTTACACAACTCCCCAGTGAGGTAATCCGAGAAGCTATGTTTGTAACAGCCATTTTACAGATGAGAAAACTGAGACTCACATCATTAAATAAACCTTAGCCAAAGTCACCCACATAATGAGCTGCAGAAGCGGGCAATGTCCAATGTCGTGTGTTAATAAACCTTGTAAATTAGCTCATCCCATATTAAGCTTAATAGCTCCTGGTGATATCATTGCTAAACTCAAACATTTAAACAAATAAAAGTCAGACTGCATCCTCCTCTGGGCTGCAGACTTCCAGAACACTCGAGAACATTTTCAGGTTCAGCTCTCGTCTCCGGTGGGAGAACACCAAATAAGCTTTCCAGGGTCATGGAAAGGAGAAGGACTTCAGGATGCCACTTGTACCACACCTTGCCTGGACACTGCCCACCGCCGGAGGGAGGCGAAGCCTTAGGTTCCCTGAAGAGCCATCTCTCTGGTATCTCTTCCCCCCTGGTTATAAACACTGTGCTGGAGAAACTGTTCCTCCAACGAAGAAACAAAAACACAGTTCACTTGGATGAATAATATATGGGGTGGAGGCTGAAACCTCAAAGCCGAATCCGATAACTTTTGATTTTTCTACTAAATGTTTTTTATAGGAAAAAAATATTCTTTTTTTTTAAATCAGTGTTAAGGAAGTTTAAGAAATTGCTGTTTGTGACTTAATATTTTTATATTAGACCCTGTATTTATCATACAGGTAATCTGGTATTTCTCCAAATAGGTGGTTACAAGCACTAACTTCTCCTTGGCATAAGATCTTCACCTCTCCTTGACTGGGATCCAACAGTCCCATGTGAGCCTTTTTGTTTTTTCTCCTGACAACTTAGGATCTGGGGAATGTTCACCCTGTTCACCACCATTCCTCGTTCCCCGGAGAGGTGGCCACCCTTATCCTCAGCATTTTCTCCATTTACTGGAATTTCTCCACTGGGATTATCCACTCACACTATTATTACTTTTGTGTCTCATGGAGTATTTTCTCACCAAGTTTCCCGTGAAACAACAGATGGGTTCCATTWATAAATAAAAGTGCAGGGATTTAAATAAAAATATTAACAAGAAAGCAGCAAAAAAATCAAAGATTACGATCAAGTATACGATGTTTTACCTTAAAGATAGAAATAGAACTGAAAATTAGGAAACCTGTTCATTTAATTCATCATATTCACAGATTGAAGGAGACCAAATTCATCTGACTACCCCACAGACGTTGAAAGTTGAAAAACATCTAATATCCTTTCTTGATAACCACTCTCCATAATGGGACTAGATGGACAATATGTCCTAAAAACAAACAAACAAACAAACAAACAAAAAACCCCTGTTTCTCATCAGATTTACTCTTATTTTCAGCTTTACTTTTGGTGGGAAAAAAGCAGACATAGTCTCTTTAGATTAAGTATAGAACATTTGTGTTCAAAACCATCAGTGTTAATTAATATTCTTCTGAAAGTTCTAACCAACAAAAATCAATAAGAGAGAGAAATGAAATATGAAATGACAAAGGAAAAGAGGTGAAATCATAATGATCAGAAAATCTTAGAGAATGGATTTTGTAAAACCACAACAAACTATATATAAGAATTTGTTCTGGATATATTAGCCAAGGTGTAGAGATATGGGCATTCTCATGGCTC